TTTTTTGTTTTGTTTTTTTTTTTTTAAAAAAAACAAGTATTGTATACACAAGCAATTTACCAATTCAGTAAGAATTGTTTAGAGACTTGTTTTCCAATAACGGAAGAAAACTTTTAAGAACAAACACCACGGTGTCCTTAGCATATTCCCTTCTCACTCTTGCCCAGGGTGAGACAGCAGGGTATTAATGCAAACAGCAGTGCCCTGTCTTTTCTACGTAAGGATCCAATGTGCCAACAATAAAAAGATCATCTGTTGCCACAGGCAATATTTAAGTATTAATAAAACTGAGAAAACGGCACAGACTAAGAATAATAAAAGCAGCATTAAGTTCACGCTTTCTAATTCTGTCTTCTCCGTATCTGAATGTTGCCTAGAATTTTCCTTCAGGTTTTTACTGGCTTTGAGTTTTCCAGACAATGATGCTGTGTGTTGCCATAGCAAAAAAAAACCCCACTATTTCTCCCAGGCTTCCTCAATCACCCCAAGACTGGGACAGTATGGGAAGCATATACAGCACATTCAGAGGACCCTAAAGTGACCGTAGGTAGTGCATTTTTCAAGTAACTGAACCCCTACAGACTTTGCAAAACAGCAACTGACTGCTTTGCTCCCACCCCACCCTCTTATTTCCATTCATCCTCCTCGCAAGAACAACTTCTCTTCGTAATCAGGTAATTGCTCCTCATAGCTGAAGACAGCTATTACGTCAGCTCCCTTTGACTACAGTGCTGTCCTGCAGCCCCAAGGGCCAAGGAAGGATAGCTCTGTTCTACCACTCCTTCTGGCCAAGGGTGAAAATGAAGCAGTTGCATACAGCTGGGTCAGTATCTCCCCTCTCCCTCCCTAAAATCTGGGAGAAATTATGAAGATTAGAAACTCCCTCAACCCAAACTGTGGAAAACAGAGACATTTGGTTTGGGGCATTGTTTGTCTGGAAGAAACTATGTAGCCCTTCAGCTATCTAGCAAGGGCTGGATCGTCCTCTCCTGGGTGCTATTCTGCAGATGTGAAGTTAAAATAGCAGGAAGACGAGAGATGAGAGTGAGAAAAGCTTTCAGAATAGTCCACAGTTCCTTTTGAAAGCAAGTTTTACTAAGCTCTTTTAAACATTTGTTAAATTCTTTTACTTTTTCCTAACAATTACTCTCTTACCACCCTAGAAAAAGCCAGTGCACCTGCTTCTCTGCCTTCTGCACCGTAAGAAAAAAACCAACCAAACAAAAAACCCCACACTACCAAAGAACACCCCTGTCTGCTCAGAGAAGAAAAGTCTTCTGTCTAGTGCTGTTTTAATCCCAATTGGTAGTCGCTCCTTCTGATTTCGCTGATCCCACCAAGCTCAAACTGCCCTGAAGCTCCATCTTAACACAAAACCCTTCTTTAAGCACAGGGAAGCTCAAAGTCTAGGTCAACAGAAATGCAGCAGAATATCAAACATTCTTTTGTGAGAGGGGATCTTCTAGGTGTGTGGTCAGGAGATGAGGAAGACAAAGTGCACCAAGCTGAATTTGGGTAACTGATTGTAAGCATTTCAAGTCTAGGCCAACTATAAGCCTCCACAGGTTTAGAAAAACCCCTTAAACTCGCTGAACTGGATCCATCGTACTTACATTTACTTTTAATAACTTGCTGTTCAGAGATGAGTTTTCCAATAGTTTTCTTTTCCTATGTCTGTCTGATGTAAAGGCCGAACTGTTGGAAAGTAATTAAAAGAGGTTACTTACTATAAAAACAAAATATTGTGTGAAATGGACAACAGATAATAATCCTAATGTTTAACACGGTGATTACATCTGCCGTCAGTAGTCATTAAGACAGAAAGAGCTTCCTGACTGCAACATATGCTTTTCAGAGTCTTAAAACAGACTGCATCTCCCTCAGAGTACAGACGCACATCCTGTTTTCAACACTGATGTCCGAGTTAATTGCAGTAAGTTATGCATGCTACAGTATGTGCCCTGACCAGTGGCCTTATTAGCATGCTACTTTTCATCTAAAATACTGATTTTTTTCCTTAAACAAGGGAATAGTTAAAACAGACTTTTCCATAAAATACTTCTGTCAGAAGAATCATCCAAGCCTTTAGAAGGACAACTTCAAAAAAAATCAGGACAAAGTAAAGTTGCCACAAACCAAAAATATCTTGAGTGCTAGCACTTATGCATTATAGCTGACTTCTCTTACTTAAATAAAAATACATGAGGTTACAACATTTGTGTAATACTAATACAAAGTTACAAGAACAATTAGTTATTCTTTTCCACATCAGTGGAAATTACTGGCCCCTCAATTCTACCAGTTTATGACTTCTCTCTAACCTAATAGCAAAATCATAACTTGTTCCAGATTCTAGTGGGTTTTTTTCTTTTTGTTAATTAAAAAGCCCTCCAAACATTCAAAAACTGTCGTTACACACAACGGAAGCCTCCACAGTATCATTTACCTCCCAAAGAGCTAGATCTCCTGGACATTTCTGAAATTCTAATGTGCACTTCTCATTATGCTTAAACATGTTTAAATCTCATTACATACCTGAGAAGCCCATCAAGAAGAGAATGGAAAATAATGAAAATATTAATATTACTGACAGAGTAAGTGGCACACTTAACTCGGGGAGGATCCAGAGACTTCCCAAAATCAGCAATTTCTTAGCGGGAGTCCCATTTGAACTCTGGGGCAGTCAAATGTATTTGGAAGCACTGTATGCACACTGACTTCTACTTAGTGTTATATAGGATTTCCAAGCAAACTGTGAAAAGACTGTTTGCTCTCTAGCACTGGCCACAGCATCTGCATCACAAAGACTGTAATATCTACTTTTCAGTCGAACAGTGCCAGACAAAGGCAGAGGAAAAACATATCTCTGCTGCACAATTCCAAGTTCATAAGCCTTCTTAATCTTTTTGTTTGGAAACCAAACTATGCAAATAATATGAAGACTACTTCCACCTGCATTTTCGCTTCGATTTCTCTGCTCCAGAAACTGATTCTGGTTTTGACAAAACTATGAATCTGTTCTAGAAATTCTCTCTCATCTATAGGGAAAAAGACAGTAATTATTGGCTAGGTAGCATAGTTAATCAATATCTAAATTCCTGTATCACCATACACTGCTTCTACAAGATGCACTGCATAAGAAACAAAACATACAAGATCAGCCAAATCCATTTGTTCTGCACCTCTGCTTCTCAGTGATGAAAAAGATATTTAAACATACACAGTATATCACACACATAGAAGGACCAAAATATATACATTAAATACATACAAAACAGAAACACCACTTAAATGATGCAACAGTACAAGCTCACCCACAGCAGTCTGGATGTAAACAAACTACTTACTTTTCCAAGTTCTGTAGGTGCTCTCTGACCTTCTGTACCAGGCCCAGCTTGGTATCATTGACTACAAAATCATCACAGCGATAACTGCAAGAAAAACATTTATCAGAATGTGCAAAGGATTTCAGTGAAGTACTCCAAAACAGTCATGCAAGCCTACGTGTGGGAAGCACTGAAGTGATTCAGTGGAAGATTACAAGGGGAACAGGGGAGCACAACACCTACATACGGAGCTTGGTTCCATCTGAAAACTGCCCTATAGTAAGAGAATGTACAGGCACTATATTATTACATGTTTTTTCTTCCAGCTCAGTTCTTTATTAGAAATCAGAAGCATGAGGTACTGCTTGTCCCAGTGCAGAATTCCAATTCAACAAAAATTCAAACATATGGTGTAACCAAAGGCAGCATTAGTAGACAATCCATAGAAGATTTATCAGAAAAGATCAACTGACATCAGGTAAACAGAATACGTTTTATTAAAGTATAGCATAAATCAGTTTCTTTTAATACTGTAAAGCTATCATTAAAACCTGAGGTGCTGAACAGATACACACATAATGTAAAAGTTTCTGCTACAGAAAAAAGACCAGGGAAGATGAACTAAGAGCTTACGTGATTTGTCCAAAGTCTCACCAGAAGTCTGTGGCAACCCGCACCTCGTGCTTTAACCACGATATCACTCACTCTCTCATATAGTTTTTATATATACAGAAACTCTTATAAAACTTAAGCTAGTTATTTTGAGCTTTTTCAGGGTAAGTGTACAAAAGTAAGTGACTGAGCTGAAAAAGAGAGAGAAGCTGATCCCCCCACTGCCTCAAAGCAAATGTAAAGTGAACCCAAATCAAAATGGCCTCTCAGCAGAAGCAAGTGTTACAAGAGTCCTATAATGCTCTACAAAGATCTCACATCTCCCAAGAAGCAAAGATGTTCATTGTAATTTAATATTCAAACTGTGGGCTTGTAATGCCTCGTATAGTGCACAAAGGCAAAGGTTACAGACCACTTCTAAAGCAGGGGGGTATGTGTGTGTGTCTTTTAGGGAATGCTGAAAAAAAACCCCACACCTTATTTCACTATTTTCCTGAGTAATGTAAATCCACAGCGCACATGTCGATTTGAAGAAAGGAAAGGAGAGAGTAGCAAAGAAAACCATCACAAGGAGAACACTGTTGCAAGATGGCATTACTTCTGCTGCTTTGCTGTATTTTAAATCCCTTGCATTTCTTGCCCTCACAAAAAGGGGGAATAGAGGTCCCAGGGTGATGTGGACCCTCTTTATCCATGCTCTTTCTTCCATTTGTGAAGGAAAGATGATGCCTGTATACAGGGGTGGGATAGTAGAAAGGGGAGGGGAAGGAAGGACAAAAATCCTTTAACACCAAGAAACAAATGCTGCACTCAGTAAGGAAGCCCAGCCCTGCAGAATCCACACCTGCACATCGGTAAACCAAGAATTCTGTGCAGCCTCCTCGAGTCTCTCTCAAAGGAGGCAGTCAGCGGAGCAGCAGCCTCACTGCTGTGCACAGGAGCTGCAGATGACATTTCACAGTACTCTGGCAGGGTTAGCCCAGAGCTAGCTCGAAAACTGGATAACCCATATTCTGGCATGAGAAACAGGATGGTAAGAAAAGACTTAACACCACTTGCACCAGCTCTTTTGAGAGCACTGTGACAAAGAGGGAGCAGAGACTTGTCACAACTTCCCCCACATCCCACAAAGGTAACTCGGCTCTCAGCAGTGTTTGTCAGCCCTGTGCTTACTGTGAAGCATCAAATTGCAGCTTCAAATTCGGGCAGGCAACTGAACACTTCCTGTGAAGAAAACTAACTTACTTTGGATATGTTTAATATCAGAACCATAGCTATTTCCCTCCTTTCCCTTTGGCACAGGACAGACTCAAATGCGAAATACATCCTCATCGCCTCAGGTTACTCCTCTGCTGGAGCAGATCCGTGCTTCCTAAGTTAATGAAGCTATTGACTTCAGGCACAACTGGAATTTACAACATTCTTTGTTGCATAAATCTGTGATGTAGTTCAAAGGCAACAGTATTGCTAGCATTAATTCAAACACTGAATTTTTGAAGAGACTACAGAGTTGAGAAAGTAAAGGCCCTTGCCACTGAAAGGAGTCTGTAAGACCAGTCTGTCCAGGATCTCTGTTGATTTTTGCCTGAGAGAAGAGAAATTAATATGACTCTCAAGATTTCCAAACACTGAACACAGCAGTTATGGATACTTAGGCAAGATCTAGAAATTATAAGATAGCTATTGCCAGTAATAGAATTTTTTTTTTTTTTTTAAATATTGCCACAGACCTAGTTAGTTTGGACAGGGAAGAAGTCTGCAAACATGCTTACTTTTCAGCCATGTTTTAAGTAGTCCTATTCAGCTTTATCAGCCACCTACAATTATCTAATGAAGTGTTCCTGCATTTGCCACTCCCACAGGACACCACACCTCAAGGACAACCCTCAGAGCAAACTACTCAGGCCAGCTTTGGAGAGAGGTAAATATGGTGCAGGTGGATACAGTAGAGTCCGACTCCTCCTTAATACCAAGCGTGTCCACTCCCCCAGGTATACTAGCACAACTACATCGCTACCCTAGTTGTGTAGCTACTAACATTTATAAATGGGGAATGAAAGCAGATGCAAGCTCACTGAAAGCCTCTAAGCCAACTCATTGCTGAAAGATGATTTAATACTTGCTCCCATGCCCTAAAGATCACGTTAACCTTATTTTTAGTCTGATCTCACATACCAGTTACATCTTTACATAAAATTGCAAGTTAGCACTTTCCCCAAGATGGAGGAATGAAACCAAATACATCATTAAATGTCAGGGTCCTTGCAACAGTGGAAAAGCAATTTTAAGATTCACTTAAAAACAAGACAAGCTGCTTCTATTTCTTTTTAATGGGCAGGTTTTTTAAACCACCTCCCTTGCAACACTGAGGATTCAGCACTACTACTAGAAATAACAGCACTACTACCAATCTATTTTGGATAAATGAAGTAAACCTCATAGGAAGTAGTATGCTTTAAAAGCTTAAAATTTGCTAAGCCCACACACCTTAAAGGTAAACTGCTGAGAGTTCCTATACGTGAAGCTGACATTCAAAAGAGATGTTTAATTTGTGATCCTCAGGATTATCACAAATTAACAATACACCTTCTTGCATACAGCAGTTCTACAATATGCTTTTAACAGCAGTTGTACAGAACAAATTCTATACTTCGGGGAGGGTCCCTTATATGGATTAGCACAATATTTTCCTCTCTATACACTTTCTATTTTTAGCACCTCTGCTACCTCCAAGGCCTGGTCTTTTCTGGCCTCCTTTGCTGCTAAAATGGCAGCAAGCCAGTGAATGTATGCACTGCTCTGGGGAACACTTATGCTTAGTGCTGGCCGTTTCAGTAGGTTACAGAACTTCATGCTATGTTTAAAAGCCCTGATTGGATTTGAAGAATTACAGGACAAGAAAAATTAAGAAAATCCAAGTTTCCTTAGTTGTACACCTTATATGAGTAAACTAAGAACTCAAGTTTTACTGTCTTGATAAAAGGCTTTTTACCTTAATTTCCACTGACTGTAGAATGCAAAATAATGGTCCTAAGCAATCTCATTTTCGGATGCTCATGTGCTAGCACAGTAAGTCTGTTTTTTAAATAGAACCACCATCACAAAAAGAAAGACTAAAAAAGAATTTTTTTAAGTCCTTAGCACTTAGTTATTTTTACATCAGCCTGGGCCAGGGAGGGAGGGGAGGGCAGGGGACATTAACACAACCATGTCCCTTTAAGAGATAACAAGGAGGCTAATGGGTCAGAAATCTGACCTGCAAGTTGTGTCTGGGATTAAATGAACACGGGAAACATATTATGCAAATACATAAACAGGGCAGCCTTTCTTCTTCTGTGCTAACCAACTGTCTGTGCACTAGCACAAGAGAAAACAAATTTACAAGAGTCATCTTTCAGGAAACATACTTCTGAAAGCAGGTTTCTTACACATATCATTTTACTTCTTGTGCACAGAAAAACAACCACCAAGACAGCAGGAGAAAGCATCGTACGATAGCTTGACAAGAAAAAGATCTGCACTTGTAAACTCTTTGTGCTTAGTACTTTAGAACTAACCAAAAGGCTGACTACCTCCACAAAGCGGAAGCCAGGAGTCTGTTTTTCTCAGTGCTTAGGGTCTCAAACATAATTCAGTCTGAAGATTTAGTATTGCATCTACTGTCCCAAAAGTGACCAAAGAATCAAGAAGAGAGTTGTACTCTCATAATAAATAGAAGATTAACATTCTCTCATCTTTTCCACTGTGAAGACTGAAAAGGCGAATAGGAGGACATAGAAGAAAGAACCCACTGGAAAGTAAATGCCTAGTTGCCCCAATACTTAATACCTCAAGCATGCCTGTACTTTTCAAAACGTTACCGAATTCATAAATACGATAAAAACCTCATCTCAGATTTAAAAAAAAATAAATAAATTAACCCCCGTCCCACCAGAACTAAAACATTTCCCTTTCAAAGCTATGTTGAAAGCTTATGATCACGTAAAAGAAAACATACACACCTAGGCTTCCACACTAAAATGCAATTACAGGAGACTGCTTGATTTGGTTTTGGTTTACAGCAAGATTGCACATGAACTAGAAACAAAATTCAATAAACCGTGGTAGCTTCAACAGTCACATAGTATTTCTTCCCCTGGCACTGATAAGAACAGCTAAGGCAAACCCTGGACTGTGCTCTCATGACTGGATGAAAGTTTACGACATGGCTAAAGAAAAGCAAAGGATTAAATACCTTCTGCTTAGAAAAGAGCCCACACAGGCCTGTTCGCTGCTACTATCATGCAAGCTAAGGAACACAGTGAATTGGGAACCATAGGATAAAAATGAAACGAGTATTCTACTCAATTCTGTGTAGTAAACAAAATTGCAAATAAAAATATAAAAGCCAGCACTGCATCAAAATAGCTTCATGATTTTTACAGTAGAAGTAGAATTCAGTTAAGTCTTAGGATGGTATTTTCTTGACTTTCAAATTACTGAGATTGCCCAAATTGCTAATGTAAAATATTAATCTTTAAATAAAAGTTCACATAGCACTGTCTACTGGATTCATGTCTACACTGATGAAGCTAACAAATAACACTTCAAAATCCAATCTCCACAGTAGCTAGTTATGACTCGAATTCACCCAACTATCTGCTTTAACTGGAAAGCACTATTTGATAGCAGCCCCTACAGTACTGTCTGAAATAAAGGGGCAGAAGTTGGTCTGAATGCTTTCTGCTTCATCTTTACACATCTAAGCTCATTTCCACTGAAAAAATTGGGTGCAATAACAAATCCAGGTATCTTTTTCTGATTATCAGGTGGGGAAAAACTGAAATATCCTACATGAAAGCAAAGATACACTGCTTTTGAAACTTGTTCAGCTTCACATTAGCACAGGAGGGTTCTAATTTGCTAGTGAATTATACGCAACAGGAAATCCCCAAGGCAAAGCTCTCTACAATTAGTTCCAGTTCATCCGTAGATGACTCAGCGTTCTACTTCGATCACAGCAGAAAAGACATCACATGCTAAACTGCTTCTTATCTGTCCTACCACAAATATGCTGTGAAACACCAGTGAGCTTCCTAAGTGCATGCCTACCTGCTCCTCACAAGTGTAGTTTGTTTCAGTAATAGATCCTGTAGTCCTCAGTTTGGCTGTTGTCATTTTGCAATGCCCATATTGGGTTTGGGATAAGGTCAGCAGGGTGCTCTGACTTGCTAGTGTAACTCACCAAGCCTCAGCAAGTTGGGCATACTATTTGTCATAGTAAATGAAGATATAATCAAGACTTCAAATACCCTCTAAAATTCCTCCACATATTATTACCTTCAGAGTGACTAGAAGACAGGTCATACTTCAAACAAAACAAAACACCACAACGTAGAACTCGGTTGTTAACAGCATTAATCGGGAAAGTGGAATTAGCTTCCCACAGCTTGTTCCAATGCTGGTAACCTGTGCGTATGTATCACTTAAAACAAATTTTATGTTTTCTAATGTTTTCACATAGGAGCAGATAAAAATGCTGGTCGTTTAAATAACGTGTAAATAGAAGCAAAATCCCCGTACATCACAAAGCTACTCAAGCCTTTCTTCTATGCTTAACATCTGTACAACTTTTGTCATTGCTGCACGCACCACCTGAATAATTTTTGAGTTGCTCCAAACAGAATTTCTTCAGGTGAGACCACTTAACTGTGATTTTACTTGCAGGGGATAAAAATATTTGTTACAGAAGTATTCCTCATAAAACTGGATACCCAAACTACAGCAAACAGATTTTTCCCTGATGAAGTACACAAAAGATACCCAATTATTTGAACAAAATACCCATCAGTGGAACTATATACTCAGTAATTTTACAAGACCGTAACACGGATTTCCCTGAGATTTGCACTGTTCAAATCCTGCCCTGCCACACCACACAAGTAACGACATACATGGGAAACCATGAAGCTAACAGGAAACGGGGGAGCAGCTGTCAACAGTTTTGCTTAGGGGTGAAGAGGATGAGAGATGCTGAACGCACAAAAGCATTGCTTTCAGTAGGCTTCCAGTCTTTGCTCTCTGAGGAACAAGGAAGATGGGGAACCCAACATTAACAGCATAACTATTAAATCTCCCTAAACAGTGCTCATATCTCACTCTAAGAAACTGATAGAATAAATCAGCCCAGGCCATTCTTCCGTTAAAATAATCACTTCTGTGATTCTGCTACTTAATCTTGCCAGAGTGTTGATGCTGCTTCCCTGCAGGATCCATCACTTTCCCAAACTCATACAGGTTGCACCAAATCTCCAAAATGAAGAAGCTTTTCTCTCAGAGTGAAGAAAAAAATTAATATTGGAAAAACAAACAAACAAAACACACACATACACACCTCAAGTTCACACATCTTGGGCAGGAACTATAGTCTATTACTTTACTTTCTGATATGCTGACAAATAAAGGGTATGTGAAAGGCTTACCAATTTGATGGAAGGAGTAACTACAACCAAACAGCAGCTTTTGCAATTAGAAGGTTAGGTTCTCAACATATCCCAGAGCAAAGAGAAGCAACTCCAAACCACATAAATAGGAGAAACTTTTTGAAATAAATGCTAAGTCATTTGAAATGTGGGAGTTTAGCCACAACCAGTGCTACGATACACATGCAAAAGCAGAGGGTTATTTCATAACTGTTTAAAAAACAGCCAGGTCTGGAAATCAAGAGATGAAGTGCTCAAAAATGTGTATAATATAATGCTTCACAAGAGTCTAAAGTTTTCACTCTTCTAGTATGTAAAAAGCTGTCAAATTACAGCGTTTAAACCCTTACCAGTATGTACTGTAACTACTGCAATCCATACACACAGTATGCTGAACTTTCTCTTGTTTTTCTGTTTTCTTATGATTGGTCATAGGAATCTGTGCATCTTCATAATGCTTTTTTGCATGGCCATTCACATATCTAAAGTAAATGAAAAAACAAAAAAAGTCTTACACTTTTAAACAGTTACTTAACCAACATTCATTGAAAATAAGAAGAAAAAAGGCAGCCTAGTAAGCATCCAATATTTATACAGGCATTAAAATAGACAATTCACCTGTGTGAAAACATTGGTTAAATTGTCTAACTTTTTACCCCTTTACTCTCCCACATTGTCCAAATTAATCTCTCCATCTCCTTCATAGCAACCACAAACTGGCATCCTTGTACCAAACCCCAGGATCTGGGCCCTGAACAGACTGATCCACCTTCACAAACGAGAAAATCATTAGCTCCCTTTTTCCATACCTGTAACATAGCTGGTTCTCCATATTGCTTTCCCATATACTTTTCTTACAGCTCTACTTTTTTCTCCACCCAGCACTCACCATGTTTGTGATTACTTTAAGTGTGCTGACCCCCATATGAAAGCACATCCATTTTAAGCTTTCCCATTCTGCAGCATGATTTAATATTAGAGCATTCTACGTTTTATAAAGTTCATGAATTTGAAAGGCTCTAGGGCTTGGGGTCACATAACTGAAAAAAAAAAATCTAAAATCCTACAGCTCTTTTGCTGACACAATGAGCATTTTCACGCTCAAAATTTGAGATCTAGAAAATTAAGCATCTTTAATTAAAAAAGCATCGTTACAAATGCAAGCGCCCTAAGTATCAGCTGAAAACCATTAACACTTAGAAGTGCATGGCCAGACCTTAGGTGAATTCCCTCCTCCCCCATTTCTTGCTTGTTGAACTCAGTAATGCGAACCAACAGGAACTCTGCACATGCTCCACATGAAGGTCTTCGTATTCTACACTTGTTCTCACATGCAGGTGTACACAATTCTGCTAACGCAGCTGTGCTAGTTAAGGCACTGAAGCCACAGGGTTACCAACACTGCTGTGCTGGCAGAATCCTGCAGCAATTATGTCATAACCCAAACGAGACAGTTGTGCTTGCAGGAGTTGGTTTTCTGCCTAACAGTGCAAATGACAGGTTTATAAAGCTATGCTCCCACCAGAAATGCTCTGCTGCTGTAACATGGTCAGTAATGTTCCCAATGACTCTAACCTGGCGGATGTACTTCAAGTGAAGATCTGAAAAGCTCTACTTCTCTTCCTTTAATTTCAAACATTATCTGAACAGAAGAATATGCTGTGTGCTTTCATGATCAAAAGTGCTCCCATTACAAGGTATATTACATTCTTCTCATTCAATTATATTCCATTCTAAGGGTGGGAGCAGTTTGAAAAGTCAAAACAAACTGCATAAATAACTGACTCAATGTCTACTAATGAGAAAAGTCATATGTGGACAGTAATAATATTTTTTTAAAATTGGTAATATGTAAAATATTCCAAACGATTTATTTCACACCATCACATACCATGAAGTAGCTCCCCCTCTCAGCTCTCACCAAGTATAAATTTATGAAATAAATGAATAACTAAAAAGAGAAAAAAAGGGGGTTGTGCTGAAAACTCTGAATGAGACATTATTAAAATTGTTGCACTTGCTGCTAACCAGATCAAAGAAACAAAACCTGGAGTTTATTGAATCCACTTTAAAAGACAAAGGCACTAAGCTTAATGATCCTTGTCCAGAATAAAAACACACCAGCACAGATGCTACCCTACAGATGAAAACATGTTCACATCTCAGATAATGTCTAAATGTCAACACTAACTGCCTTCTCATTAACATGTGCATCTCAAACATTTATGTAGCAGCAAATTCTCTACAATTATTCTGACATATAAATAATAGCATTGACCATATCATTCCTCTACAAATTCTTTTGGTGTACTTCAACTAATACAGACAAAAAACAGGTTTACTCTGAAGGAATTCTGGTGGTAGCTAGTCCTGTATGTTATGGCAATAACTTTGTGCCAAAACTACACTACAGTAATTTAAGGTGTTTTCTGTCTAAGTTGGACGGTTGCTATTTTTCTCAAAATAAGCTGTGCCAACTTTGGATTTGTGGGTTTCCAAGAATTCTTATTGGTTTAATCTTATTACAATAGACACATCTTTTGCAGAATGGAACTTTACAATAATCCACTGAATCAGCAGTTCTCCAGGAACTTTTTGAGCTGAGCAATCACATTCACCGTACACTTTTCTTTTGGAAAAGAAACGATGTTGAGTATAATCTTTGGACTCTCGTAAGGTAGCAAAGAAGTGTGTTCAGTATAAACATACAATGTTAAATGAGATCATGAAAGGTTTATTTCAGGGAATTATAAGGCATTCAGGAAAATTTTGAATGAACTGCCTCAGAGTCGAGCAACAAAGGAAAAAGATAAACGTCTGATTAAAAGATTTGCACACTAACGCTTGGTACCCACCTTCCACAATGGACACTTGAGCACGTCAGACAGACCCACGGACTTTTATTTGACCGGCACACTATAAAAGATTTAAAAAAAAGAAAAAAGAAGTGTCAAGTGAATTGGCTCTGATATTACAATTGTATAACACATCCTGAGCGCTAGCAATATCTCTGCTGACTCCATCTTAGCAGCACAGTTATATAAAATAGCCAGTCATGTTCATTAACCGATATTAGGGACTAAACTAACAGACTGAAGAGCTATTGACACTAAAGCATGTAGCCGCCTTCTGGCTTGGGTTTTAGTCGCAGGCTACACATTTACCTGTTACTTTCCATGAAAAACTTAATTTTTTTTCTTTGTATTACATCCACATGAGGTCTACTTGATTTTGAAATACAATACAGAAATAACAGAAACACAAATAGCAAAAACACTGGTAAAGTTTAAAAACCTTTCTTTTGGCTTTTGACCGAACACGGGAAAAAAAGCCACAGCACTACACTTCCTTTTCAAAAAACTAGTTATACAAGAAGCCATTTTAAAGAAGATACTGCAAGAAAGCCTGGCAATCTGATAAGAATCACACAGAATAAATTACTGTGCAATGCATGATAATACGCACCATTTATACAATACGTATTCCTATGCTGCAGTGCTGGTAAAGGCTTTATCCATAAAGATTTTACCCTTTCAGTCATGCACAAGAAGCTGAAAGGTTAAAATGTAACACAGCACTGTGCTCTGCAATCCATTCAAGACATCAGAAGATGTTATCTAATTTTTCAGCTGTCTTCTAAGTCTAGAAAACTTAAATTAAACAAACATGGATGTTTTTAAGTTAAAGGGCTTAAAGGGAAAAAACAGCAGATACTAGAAAATGAAACACCATCCCAGGGTAAAGTCATAGAAATGGGATATTCCAACTTCTACCCCAACCCAGTAGCAAAGTCTGCAAATTCATATTAGAAACAAAATCTCAATAAATAACCCATGTAGGCAGAACACATTAAAATAGGCAAGCAGAGCAAAATTTCCATTAGTCAAGTCAAGAAAAAGTATATGCATCTTTATAAACAATAGCAATTTTGGAACTACAACTAAATCAATATTGAACCCTCAAGTTTTGAGAGGAATTGCAATTTGGATCATGTCATTGAAGGAGGGACGCTACGATATACAACGCTTAGATTTGAATGAAGTAAAATTGTTAACAACTATCCATTACCACAGAATTTACAGAAATAGCATTACACTTTCAAATACCCAACTAATATGATGAGAAAAGAAAAATGAAATGCTAAGTGCACTTCTGCAAGGGCAGAAAACAACAACAGAAAGACGACTTCAGTTATCGCAAAAATACAAAAGGGTACGATGCCACCTAATTTTTCTACATGCTATAAATAACTGCTTCTTGGAACAGCCAGTCAAAAGAGTCACAGAGGAAAATAAGACATCAGAAACACGAGGGTCTGTGAGGCCAGGGGGAAGAAGGGACAAAGAGAAGAGGATTAAACTCTAGCGTACATGTAAATTATTTATATTGTTATTTATTGTGGAAAAGCTTGAGAACAGCCTTCCCTGTATGGAGTCACACCTTAGAGAAAGGAACTGGGGAAACTGAAGCATGCACAGAAGCTGCTCCAGGGCAGGATCACCTGAGCAGGCTAATTCAGGACTTCTGGCAAAACTCAAAAATACGGTCACCAAGCTACAAGCCATGGTACATATCAAACCGTTAAGATCAAAGACTATCTAACAAAAGCGAAAGAAGTTTCTTTATCAAATTAAATGCTAATTAAAAAGAAAAAGCAAGGAGGGGGTCAATTTTTAATCGGGGGAGAAGTGACCAGCTTAGCTGTTTAGAAGAGCTAATATACTTTTCCACCATTAGATTTCGCCTTTTTTATTTAAATCAGACGGAAAAATAAACTAGCTAACATTGCTTCTTAAAGAATTGTTTTCTGGATTTGAATTCATTATTACAAATAGTTGTACTTCAATTCACAGGACCAATCCAAGGAATGTTTAAAACTAAGAATTTTACTATGTTCACTGGAAAAAAAGCACATTCCACAGAAATATTATTTGAAGTAACTACTTCAAACTCTTTAGTAAAGACTCCAGAATCGTTTTCTTCAACTGCTGCAATTATTACTTTACTTGAGAAACACATTCTCTCACGTCTCAGTTTTCTGGTTTTGGTTTTCCAAAACAAATTTTCCTAAAGTTAATGTGTTCGCACAACTGCGATGGCAATCTTGCAATAGATAGAGGACAGCCAGGTAGAGCTATTTTGGCTTACATTTCAAGTTAGAAAAGTGGAAGAAGTTTGTCTAATTTGACCAAAATGTTATCAAGAAAACGAACATTTGGCACTAGCAAACAGAAGAGAAAGGGAAGACCTTAAATAGCTATCATCAGTTAAAAACGGGCTAAATGGACCACCAGTCTAACCTGATACAATTTTATTTTCCTGAATTACACAAACTGAAAGGTAAAAAATTAACCAGAAGGAAACAGAAGCCAAAACCATTCATGCACTTAAACACAGATTAAGTGCTGCATGAACAAACCACTAGCCTACACTTTCCTTGCCAGGAACATGAAACAGTCTTTTCTCAGCAGAAATCTCCCACTTTGAAATAACATTTTTGCTTTCACTATGTTATCATCTGTGGACAAAACTAGTTCTCAACTAGTAGGTCAAAGCATTACGATGCAAACTATTATTCTTACTTTCCACCATGTACCAGACAATTACAATTTCACATTCAGGTATTTTAAATACCAGCACTGCTTGCTTGTCAAGTGTTAAATTATACTGAAGCAGTGCTCACTCTGCAGAGTTCACACCAGGTTTAAGTGTTCTGCACAAAGCCAGCAAAACAAGTCCACCAACTCTGCACAATACCAAAAAAATAGCGTCCACTAAAATGTTCCATCTTTCACATCGGGGAATAGGAAAAGATGGTTCATTTGTTTGCTTTAACTTTTAGGAAGAACTTTGCTCCAATCTCCAATTGCATCACATTAGAAACGTGTAGTTTATCTTCTGCACAAACATCTCCTCCCACAAAGAACTCAAATAACATGGAAGTAACTCCCACTAAGATTAAACACAGAAGCCAGTATTAAATTTGTGACCTACAGTTGTTCTGTTCTGAGAGGATTACACAATTGATTTTTTTAAAGGTTGCTGAAGATTGCATTCTGCATTTCTCTGAGATTGGCTCAGTAGGAACCTGCATTAAAACTTGGCTCTCTAGGTATTCCTCAGTTCAGATCTTGAAGCAGTTACCGTCTGTTACTTACTATTAATAAATTAGATTAGGCCGGGAGCTTCAGGCATTAGTCAGGACTCTAAGAAGACAGGCACCATGGAATGCACAGCAACAGCGTAGTCACTGCCCTGAACTGCTTATAATCTAAACTAAAGGTATACAGTTTGGCTTCATCTGTAAAGAAAGTGCACGTTATTCCTTTCAGAGGTGGTACTGACATGAAGGCACTAGGCTTAAAAGTAGACCAGAAACAAGAGACACAGATCCATAGCAAATCCCTTCTCAATTCAAAGCACACTACACAGCCCGGGAACTTGGCCCTTAAAACAGATTTTGGTGTTCAGGACTTTCAGGTCAGACAGTTACACAGAATTGTGAGGAAAGACTCTCAAACCCATTTGTACAAGTACGTATGTCTTCCCTCAATAATCAATATTCCAATAGGGATTTGTTTTGTTTTTTTTTTTAGTGCTATTTAAAAAAAAGAGGAGGAGGGGTACACTACATTAGCACCCCATACTTTGGAATAAAGTTATGTTCAACAAACATCTTAACCACATTTAAAAAAATGTAATTTTCTGTGTTTGTTACACCTTACTTAGTGGTATACATGCTAAGGAACTCTGGCTGCTTTCTCAGCTTGAACTGAAGTGGCTACTGCAACGTAACACTGCCTCATTTTGCTATATTTTTAGAATAGCTTCAAGTGGTTAGGCAAAGATGATACTAACATGTCAAAAGAAAAGGGAAAGCAAATCTGCAATGCTACAACGTTGTCACTGCAGACAACAAGCAGTAAGTCATTTGCCATTTTACATCAATATCAGCTTATTCAGAAGCTTAGAAACATAATTTTTCATCATGTAATAGGAAGGGGAAATACTATCTTTTACAGAACAATTTCTCGAAGTGAAATCTGAATACTCATTTGTTATACAGCCTACAAAGCCCTCTGTAAATGGAGTACCAATCCAGCCCCAAGAGAGCAAACAATCCAACACCACTACATACAGACTCATATGTAACTATGGGAACATTCAGAGATGTCCCTCCTCCTCCAGCTTCCACTTTCTGTAAATCATCCTGATAAATAATGTTCATCAAGTTATGCCAAGTAGAATGAGTAAGATATGGCTAATCAGTTTGGCACTCTCATCACAGGGCCCCCACCCCATCTTACCCTCATGATCACTCAGATATGTACTTCTGAATCTTGACTTCTTTTTCTTACTGAAAACTGACTCCAAGTGCAGTCTTGTGAAACATGAATGCTCCTGGCAAACACTGTATTCCTTACAGAATAAAGCTGCAGATTTCCACTGTAGGAAAGTTACAACTATGTAGAAGTATACAAACAACCCGTGAAACTAATAGTTTTGTTTAAATAGCACACTGCATAATTTAGAAACTGGCAAAAGAAAAAAGAAGCAGGAAGAGGAGGAGACAAACAGGAAGCAGTTTCTGTAAGGCAGCCAAGTTAAGAAACCTGCAAGATACAGTGTCCACCAGAGATCTGGCAGTAGCGCCGCCATGTGATCAATGCAAACCCATGACTTCGCCAGTCACAGGAGCGCAAGTGACCTGAGGCCATAGCTACTACAGAACTGTGCTTACATCCAAGTTTTAAAATAGTCCTTTATTACATCACTAAAGAAAAGGCCACAAAATATCAGCACAATAAGAGCAATACTTTGGTCTTTCTGTTAAGAGCACGTTGAATGGAAACAAGACTAGGGTCATTAAACTACTTACAATAGTCTCCACAGCCTTTACAAAACAGCCTGGACTTTGTT